CCCACAACCATTCACCTTTTCACTCAAAGTGCCTTTCCAACTCTTCTGTTTGATTCAAATAAATATTTGAACATAGACTTTTAACTATATCTTTACAATGTGTTCAGTATCAACATAAAGACTAGAATAAAATGGGTATTCTTTAATAATCAATACAAAATTAATTTCTTTCATTGGTTAAATACTATGAAAACTCAAGTCCTACTTTTTTGCAGGAGGATTTCACACTTTCATTTCCTACCATAGGACCTTCGCACATAACATAACACACAAAAGGTTTTGTACTGGCATTTCTGTAGTAACAGTCACAGGCCAGAGTCCATCTCTGGGATATAGAGTAGGTTTTGTTTTCAGTGTTGACAGAACCCCAACACTGCCAAGCTGTATCCTTGACCAATAGTGAGAAACTTCAACATTACAAGTAACCAGGAGTGATTGGCCATCAGAGCTTTTATAAAACAAGCTGCAGTTCCTCTGCACCAGCAATCACACTGAATGAAAAAAAAAACATTAGGAGTGCACAAAGGAAGCAAAAAGATTCCTTTACTTTTATCTACGCTGTAGTGTTTACAAGACTGTCCTGAATTCTTCTGGATGCGTATCTGCAGAATGATGTCTGTTGACAGAGAATGCTTGGGATGTCTTTACAAAATTTGCAGCAGTCTTCCAGAACTGCTTTTTAAAAGATTACCCAAAATGTCTGGGTATGTGAATCTAGAGTCTCGACTCAGTGCCAGCTTGGGCATCTGGGTTCTTAAAGGCCAGCCCGATGTTGTTATCATGCACATACGCGGTAGAACGAGTGTTCGGAGTTTGTCTAGTGAACGCTCTGAGGAGTTTAGAGCGGTAGTGATCCCCTGCCAGGAAGTAGAGGATGGGGTCCAAACAGCTGTTCATGCTAGCAAGTGGGCGAGTGATTTTATAAGCAAAGTTGATGATATTAAGGGACCTGCAATCTGCGTCTAGAATACGGTAGGAGTAGTAGAGCGAACGGGTGATGTGGAAGGGTACAAAGCAAATCGCAAACACAACCAGCACCACTATGATAAGTTTAATGGACTTCTTCCGGGATGAACTCGGTTGACTTTGGGACAGGCCCTTTCGGGGTTGGCAAAGGGCCCGTGCCATTAAACAGTAGCAGACCATGATGACCAGAAATGGCAGGATAAACAGCAGGACCATCACCACTGAGTTGTAGGTAACATAGTCGTGAAATTCATCCGGGCGGCTGGTGTCGTGACACAAAGTGTCATTTCCTCTTTGAGAAGTGTTGACAAAAATCAGCTTGGGCACCAGGCAGGCTATCACAGCAGTCCAGACAAAACCACACACCATGTGGGCATGGCGTGGCTTGATCAAAGTCAGAGCACGAATGGGGTGACAGATACCAAGGTAGCGGTGCACACTGATGCAAGTGAGAAACAGGATGCTGCAGTACAAGTTAGCATAGAAAAGAAACCGCACAATCTTACAGAGAAAAACCCCAAAAGGCCAGTGGCTGCGGTTTGCATAGTAGTATATGAGCATAGGCAAGGAGAGCACATAGAGCGTGTCCGACAGGGCCAGATGGAACATATAAACCGTACTGGGTTTCCAGGGCCTCATCTTAGTGATGAACATCCACAGAGCCACAGAGTTAAGTATCAGTCCCAGGAAACACACTAGGGAGTATGATACAGGTAGCAGAATATACTTGAACTCCTCATTGAAGAGACAGCTGAAATTCACTTCCTTCTCAGACCTGGGTATCAGTGTGTTGTACACAAGGGACAAATTCCCTGAGACGCTTTTCCTTAAGAATGAATTCATTTCTCTGTTAAAATAACAACAAAAGATGTTTATAGCAATTTTTAGAAACAGCGAGAAGTCAACACAAAATATTAAAGTAGATTTCAGTGTATAACATTATGTCACAAGCTATAAAATCAACATAAACTACTGGCTGAAAGTGTCGACAAAAAAATAGACTCTTTTGTGTGCTTAGAAGTCTGATTTTTTACTCATTATATAGGGTTTAGGTCTAAAACAGTATTCAAAATCCACACGAAAACTTATTCTCATAAATCATGACAATTTCCGAGATAAGCTCCTACGAAACTATCTCCCGTTTGAGCACTATGCTGTTTTATAATAAATCACAAAACAGAAAGAAAAACTTTTTCGCACACATGTAGGGCGCACGTGACGTAATTTGGTTGGAAAAACAGAGAGAGAAAGGGGAGCACGCGGAGTTGTTTTCACGTGCTAAAACTTACCGTTCACTCAGCTGAACGAGGTACATACGTCGCTTCACAGATCAAAACATGAACTTAGATGGCTGACGCTAGTGTTTCAAAAATAAACTTGTTTAAAAGGTTTAGGCATCCAGATTTATCGCACTGGGCGCGCTCGATCTGCTGTGGTCCGCTGGACTAGGTGAGAGCATTATCTGAGGGGCGGGGAATCAGCGCCAACGTTTTTCCCTTCAGATCCTCAAGAAGACCAATTCACCAACAATAGTGACAGGTATTGGTAAATATCTCATCACTTTTCTTAAATCCTACGAGAAACCTGCTAAGGCATTAAAATACCTAGTCTTAGATAGCCTATTAAAAGAGGAACTCTTCTTTTTCTACTATTCCTTAATGTAATTTTCCAAACTAAATTGCTTGAACTCATCTCAGTATCATATCATGCTCTTATCAGTTTCTGCCATCTTTGCCCATCACACAGACAGAAATTTACAATCGAAGGTCATCTCACATGCCCTTTAAACATTACATGTTGGCTCTCGTAAATGATACAGCCCAGGTTTTATGATAAAATCCTTGAAGATACATTAACCCAACGCACGCGCGCACGCACACATGGTGCTGTTTTCTTTCCGTTGTATATACCAACTCCAGACAGACACGCTTAATATTTTAATTCCAGGATTTTAGAAAAGTTTTAGCTGGTTCTAATTTTCCCCAAATGACCTTCCTTTATTCTATTTCTCTTTGTCATTTCACTTCCAGCAAGCCATGTGACTGTGTGCGCTACATACCATATGCAAGAATTGTGTCTTTTCATCCCAAAATAATGCACTGAAGTTCCAAAGAAGTTCCATGTTTTCCATATCCAGTAAAGAAATGTAAGTGTTTCCCAAGAGTTCTTGGGGAGCTTATGCATATTTGTTTGGAGTAAAGTTAATATTTAGTAAAAAGTTAAAACACAGTCCCATTTGACCAATGAGAGGTTAGTAGTGCATGTCTGCCTTAGAGAGGAGACCTTAATGCTCATGTGCTGTAACTGATTCTTTAGCAACTCAGAAACAATCACACACGTTTATATCAGATCACCCAGGTGTGCTGTTAGGCACATTATATGATCCGTGTTTGGCCGGGGCAGACGATGTAAAAATGGAAGATTGAGTGTCTGGAAAGCTAAATGAACAGGACAAAAGGTTACTGCAAGAAAGACCAAAGAAGTTCCATGTTTTCCATATCCAGTAAAGAAATGTAAGTGTTTCCCAAGAGTTCTTGAGGAGCTTATGCATATTTGTTTGGAGTAAAGTTAATATTTAGTAAAAAGTTAAAACAGTCCCATTTGACCAATGAGAGGTTAGTAGTGCAAGTCTGCCTTAGAGAGGAGACCTTAATGCTCATGTGCTGTAACTGATTCTTTAGCAACTCAGAAACAATCACACACGTTTATATCAGATCACCCAGGTGTGCTGTTAGGCACATTATATGATCCGTGTTTGGCCGGGGCAGACGATGTAAAAATGGAAGATTGAGTGTCTGGAAAGCTAAATGAACAGGACAAAAGGTTACTGCAAGAAAGACTTTTATCTGCTGGTGATCAGTTGGAGTGCCATAATAGGGTGCATGACTGCTATGCTTCTCTGAGTTAAAGTTCACATTGAATATTTGCACAATTGTTTTATGATGTTGGCTGCAGTAATAAAGTACATAGTTTGAAGTTAAATAATCTGTGATATCGTGATATTTCAAATTGATTTGACATTGTGTTAGTATTATACAGTATATCACTGACATCTAGGATGTTATAAAAAACATTCAATTACAATTCATGTGTCATGAAATAAAAAAATATTAGCTGTATGAAAGCGTGATATTTCAAATTGATTTGACATTGTGTTAGTATTATACAGTATATCACTGACATCTAGGATGTTATAAAAAACATTCAATCACAATTCATGTGTCATGAAATAAAAAAATATTAGCTGTATGAAAGCTGGGGAGATTAGTTTGCATTGTTGGTATGGTAAAACCCACTTCCTTTGCAGTGCTGAACTGATGGTTAATCCAAGAGGGAGTTATGGGATATAACTAGGGGATATACAATTTTTATAAATTGTACAGGAATGTGAGTGGGACAATGATTCAGTAATGTGATGTAAACTGTAGGTCACCGGGAATACAGCTCAGTTTCACTCTTCATCTCTAGCCTACATAATAATCTAATAACTGACAGGTGAAGTCAGGCAGGCCAGTGCAGAATAAACGCCTACTACGCCCACTTTCCTTTGTGTCACGGAAAAGCAGATAGATATAAAGAGTCAAGAAGAGCCACAAACTACTGGAGTGATAAATAAGGGACATTTTCTGTAAGAGCAGAAAGGAAGTTTATTTGTGATAAGCTATCATTAAAATGATGTAATACCCAGACTCACTGAGATGCTTTCTTCAGCCGAGAGCGCACAAGGGTGTGAACTTGCACTGAACTTTCTCCAATTCATATTTTTCCCTCTGTAAATCTGTCTAGATCCATCCATCTATCAGATTACCGCACTTATGCAAGACATGTCTCTGGACATCATTAGGACATGTTGATGTCATTACAAACACTCCAGACTCATTGTTTTTGATATGTCTAAGAGTCAACTCTATCCCAGGGCAAACATAGTTCTCAAAGATCCTGTTTCTATACAAACAACCTTCTGTACCGTATTTGTTCAAGTTTAAAGATGATCAAATATTGACACTGAATAGTATAGATTTAAAATAAAATGTAAAAAATCACCCTTTAGTCAATTTTTTTTCCTGCGACTTCATAAAACCATCACCATAATCTAAAGTGATTACATAATTTATCAAATTACAGATATACAATTGCAAGAATAAAGGCTTTAGGACTGTGGAGGTGGGATAATTCAGTTAACGTCAAAGTAACATCTTAAATTAAGCATAGCTAGTTGGTTTTATAGCTTTATATGAATACAAACAAATAGACTGACATTTTACAACGTGTATTAAATCCCTGTGGAACATCATTTTACACATATAATGTTCAGGAAAAATGTGAACAGTGCTTATTCTGTTACCTTTTTTTGCAGGTTATATTTACATTTGGCCCAGCGATGTAAGACCACACTGGAAAACATTGTGTTTGTTCAATTAAGCATTAAAAATCCATGAGCTTATCTCTTAAGTAAAGGGGAGAACAGCATCACCGCAATTAAATCCCTGGGGTAAATAGTAAAATATGTATTCCTCTTAAAAGTACCAGCTGACTCTGTTAGCAAACAATTGCTTTATGCACTTTTAAAAGGGTAATTTATAGCAAGGGGTCTCCTTGGAATAAATACAGTAACTAGGCTAAAAACAGAGATATAGGCAAGCTGTGACAGGGTACTGAACCAGAACATTTCACAGCTAATGCTCAGATAAGACAAGGTTGACTTGTCATGCTATTATATACACAGTAACTAAGTATGAGTATCAAGACACTCAATGCTAAAGTAAACAATTTTAAAGAGTCTGTGTTTTAGTGATAGATATGATTTGTTTGGATTGTTAGAAGCAAGTGTTGGACTGTAGTTTATTCCACACTGTATGTTTAGGACCACAGGAAGAGAATGAACACATTGTGTGATGAACTTTATTATGAATGGAATTTAAACTTGAAAAATTACAAAGAAGAGTAAAAAAAAAAAAAGATTAATAATACAAATACTGAACTTGTCATTTATGGTCTCCTGACATGACACCTGATAGTCTTTTCAGTTCAGTCCCAGATCCTGGGAAGGTTCTCCAAGATTCTTCGTCGATGAGATGGGTTAGACACACCCGCTGCACACAGCTCCTCCTCTGTAATACCACTGCATGAGAAGAGTGCACAGATTGACGTATATATGTTCACGAAGCACTGTTGCTGCTTAGAATCATTAACTGAAGCAAATGGCTCTGAGAACAGAAGCAAATGAAGAAGTCTATGTCAGATTTTTGGCTACATCACATCAACCTTACCTGAAGTAATCAAGATCATCCCAGCCATTACGGCTGAGGTCCAGCGTGTAGCGCTGCAAACCCAGAGTGCTGAGCAGCTCCCGCACTGTTTCTGGAGCTCCATGTAAGACTGACACCTGCGGACACACGTTGCTTTTGTATTCAACAAAGCTAAACCCCAAAGCTAATCTTAAAATCCATATTGACACCTTGCACTAAACAACATAATCCATATCAGAAAATTACTCAACTTACCTCTTTCTCCCAGCTGTAGTTTCTCTCACTAGCTAAACCATAATTATATCCATGATGCCTTTGCTGAGACGACATTTGATTAAACTGGTACTTTCTGTCTACTGGCTGAAAATCCACCTCACTTAGTGATTTAGCAATTTGGAGGGCTGTAAGAGAGTTGTCTCCTGAAGCTGTTGTTGGCTGCTCTACTATCCAGGGTACTGAGACTTCATCAACGGGAGCCCTTGTGGATATATATGGGTACAGCTTTGGTCCATTTCTCATTGACGGGGGCCGATCTTGGTGTAGCCTTTGATAGTCCTTTCTGACTTTTTCTTTGAGTGGCGCCTGTATGTCCCGGGAAAAAACTGAACTATTCATGTAGGAGTTTGTGACTTTTTTGACTGATAATACTGAATCCTGTGTTGTATTGTTCTTATGGGACTGTAACAGTAAAGATGTATTCGAGGAGGTGGTGTGTCTTTGGTTTGGGGATGTATTAGGAACGTCTGGACCTGGGAAAAGCTGATAAGAGGAGGCAGTTGACGTCAGTTCACTTTGAGTCTCACAAGATGATTTATAGGGTGCTAAAGATCCAGGAATCTCAATCTCTGTGAAGTCGGACCTCCGAGCAGACCTTTTGCCATGGCTGTGACCTCCAGTCACTCTAGGGAGCTGTATCACGGCATCTTTGGCATATACCACTTGGGATTCTTTGCCGGATGAGGGAATCTCTTCGACTCTTCGCAACACAGGCACCCCCTCAAAGATGAAGTACGCAGGATTGGTGTAGCTGTTAGGCGCTGCCACATATGAGGATGATGGTGCTCTACAGAGGGAACATGAAGTGTAATCAAAGTAATGTCCAATGGAAAAAGGTAGCAGAACACGATCATCTGAACAAGTATGTAAATAAAAATACTTTACCATAGATAAAGTAAACACTATTTATTAACCTAGGTCCATTTTTTACTCACTGGTTTGAGAATGCACAGGAAGACTGGCGAGACAAATGATCCTTCATCATTTCCTTCTCATCCTTCTCCATGCAGAGCCACTCTGCAATGTGCAGAAGATATGTCTCATGTCTAAATGTTTAAATATTGTAGTCATCTGCGGCAAAGCCACTGGGTGTACAGTGAGCGGTATGTTAAGGGTCATATTTCAGTGTAGGTCTCAGAATGCATCTGGACAAGATCAGGCAGCACAGCAGCAAAAGAGGAAGCCATGGTAGATAGAAAAGTGAAAATAGAGCCAAAGCAGAGGAGGAACTAAAACAGGGTATATTTGAGGAAATGATAGAGTGAGATCATGTGGATAACCCACCATAGACCCTTTCCCGGATCCTTCGGCGGTCTGGTGGTACATAAGCCCTGATTCGTCCTCGAATAGAACCCATCTCTTCTCCTCTGTGAGTCAAGCATGTCTCAAATAGATCCGATGATTTCCCTGTTACTGAGTGAAGAGCCACACAGCACTCACCTGAAATGGCAGAACTCCCATTACATATACAATCTATGGGCCTGCCCTGTATACACCTGGTAACTTCATGCGTTTCATGAAAAGACTAGGTTTAAATAACCTCCAAAAAACGAGATGGATTTAAATCTGATCGCTCAACCCACTTCAGGAGGTGGTCTGGGACGCATTCCAGACAAAACTGGACAAGTGTAAATGCATCTGGTTGTTGAAACCACATGTAAATTTTACTCCTGCCAAAATGTTGAAATAATAAACGTGTGAGATCGTGTTATAAGCTATATGACATAGACAGATACGACAGTGCTAATGCAACATGAGTATCTCTCAAGAGTATCTCTTCAGCAAGTCAACATGCAAACTGCCACAAATAAAACTGAGAGTAAGTCACAGACACTCAACACACAGTCATCTTCATTAAAAGTAGTAAGACTAACTTATCTTTCCAGTGCTGATGCCGCTCTTTCTCCTGTTGCGGTCTTTGATTCTGAAATTAGCTGATGATCAATAAAATGCTGTGCATATCTGTTGCTTTCGTTGACATGAACGCCGTTAAATTTGCATATAGCATGGGAATTGAAGATCAGATTTATATCCATTTTGCGGAGACACATTTATGTGGCCAAATGTAAATGGAATCCCTTTGAACAAATCAAATAGATATCCTCTCAGAAAAAAAATGCATGAAGTGATCAGGTGTAAACAAGCCCAATTTGACCATGTTTCAACAGTGCCTTTAGCTCACAAGAAATTAAGAGGATGTGTATATTCCTGGTTATGGTGTAATGGTTTCTAAAAACCAAATCACTGTTTCAGAGAAACTTCACTCAAAAAGACATGATGAGCTTGATCATGTACCGTATGACTCAAAGCCATCACATGACTTCACAGACAACAGCAAGTGCTGATCCCGGAGATGCTCTAAATCGGAGAACACTGGGTGGAGCTGAAAAAGACAAAAGAGAAATTTCACTTGGTGTACCAACCAAGAGTGTCAAATCCGTATTAAACGGAGCATATCTCCAAATGATCACACTGAGCCAAATGGCATCAACCTTGGGGAACTGTTTTGAAGACCAGCCAAGTTTGAGAAAGCCTGGTACCTCACAGCACTGCGAGTCATTCTCAGCAGAACGACGAGGCTCTACACAGAAGGAGAAGAAAGAACTGTCACGTTTATCATATAACCTCATGACATTTCAAAAGGAAACAGATTGGCAAAGAAACATTGATTATTGCACAAAAGATACCTTCTAGACAGCGTGAGTGGAACTCAATGAAAAACTTGGCCTTGCTAGCAGTTTTCACTATGACCTCAATCGCCTCCAGCTCAATGCTGGCTCTCTCTGAACCCAATTCTACATCCGCAGAGATGGACAAAGAGATGGTTATGATGTCAGATGGTTATGACACTAAGAGAAGCACTAAACAAATACTCAATTTAAAAAATACTTGTTGAATTATGACAGCGGATTGTATTTGTGGGGGTTAGTTCATCCAAAAATAAATATTCTGTCACCTTCATGTCATTCGAAACCCATAAGACATTTGTTCATCTTTGAAACACAAATGAAGAAATTTTCCATGAAATCTGAAAGATTTTTGTGATGTTCTGAAAAGTTAATCAAAAGATTGCAAAGAAGTCCATATAAATCAAAACATTTTATCAAAGGCTTCTGAAGAGGTACAATTGCATTGAAAATTAAATGTATGATTTTATTCACATAAACATTGATCAAAGCACATCAAACACAGTAAATGGAAGCTCAAATGTGCTTGGTTGACGTGAGAACCAATGAGGTTTGTCCTCACGTATCAAGTTTGAACCTATGCAACAACCAATGTGGTTTGTTCTGAGTGTTCAGATTTGATTTAAAATATATTTTCATTTGAGTTTCTAAGATGAACAATGAGTTTGGAACAACATTAGAGTGAGTAAATGATGACAGAATTAAAATTTTTGGGTGCACTAACCCTTTAAAAATGATCTAAAAGTTGAAATTGTTTTAGGCTTAATCATGCTGGTGCTGTTAAAATGAACCAGCCTTGGGAAAAAATGTGTTCAGTGGCAAAGGGAAATGGTGGTTCCTTAATGAAATGCATGTTCAGCAACCCCTAATATAACTCCCAGAGTTATGCAATGACCCAAAGGTCAAAAACTCCAGTGTCAAAGACTTAAGCTGAAAAGGACTCCATACCTGTTCTGGGAGACTGTGATATCACACCCACTTCAAAAGTTGCAAAAACAGGAGAGTGATCACTGGTGAAGATGTCATCTGTGCATCCTGATAGGATAAGTTAAAATATTTGTTTAATATGTGCCTATTTGGGGTGCATGCTTAGAAAATCAATCATTAAAGCTGTAATTGGGGCTGAGTTTTTTATTTAATGAGTCATACAAACCATCACCTGAACATTAGTAACATCCCATTAATAAATAACCTAAATAATTAAACATCACATTCCCATTCCATTGAATGCTGCAATTTAAATAGTTACTAAAAATACTAATGTGATGTAGTTACGAAATACTAAGCATCTGGTCTGTGCTGGCTGTGATCATATACACTAGTATAATATTTGTTGGAGGGCTTTGCTGAGGAAGCTGAATTCACATGTTTGAAGAGCAGACAGACAGGATATGACTCTGATTGTGGACCACAGACCTACAATCATACACAAAGTAAACCTTTGTAGTGCAGGGTAGCTACACGCATCTCATTCCAAAAAGCTACAAAAATAGCAGACCAATGTTTTAGTTACTTCCCTCGAGCTAAATTGCAAACCAACAAAGGATTTTGTCTAGCCATGGCTGTTACATAGACTACATTTCACATTACTATTTTCTTTTAGAAAGCTTCTACAGTAATGAGAATAAGAATAGAAAGAAATAGGAGTAACATACCATACGAGGTACAGATTATGTGAGACTCAGGGTAGGACTTCCACAGAACTCTATCACACCATGAGGGCCCGTTGACTTGCACCTGAGGAAAGTTTGAATAGTTTTAATAAAACAAAATAATAAAAAACAAGAAGGATGAGTAATGGTAATCTTCTATGCGGTCACACCTAATGACTCCAATCATATCACTCATTTTGATTCACAGGTCACTATAAGTGTGAACAGGATGTTAGGATGTCATTAACAACAAAAAGTTTTACCCCACTGGACTTGTATTTCTGCCATAGATAACAGTCTCTAGAACCACGTTCATACCGATAGGTGGGTGGAAACAGAATCTTCTCCTCCTCTTAACAGAGAGAGCAAAATCAAGAACGAAATATTAAAGTGTCTGTTAATGTACATTTGTTGTGTAATCACATCTATTGATTTCATGTGTCTGTGGTGTCCGTGGGAGGAGAAGAGCAGCCGCGGTTCTTACTAAAGTTAAAAAAGGCCTTTCTTCTGTGCCGCTCTCTAGTCAATTGGTCTGCACACATCAGCTCGTCAAATTCTCGCTTTGAAATATGCTTCAATATGTCCTGCAAAAAGAGAGACCTCGGTCAGGGACAGATGACCTTCAATATATGATACAAGTGAGCACAAGGATTTACAAAACAACTCAGTTCAATTCAATGCGCTTAATGGGGTCTCCTTGGAGCAATGTTTGAATGGCTATGGATCGCAGTTAAATAAAAAGCAGTGAGTGGGAATAAGTAAAGCAAGAGTGACTAATATCTAGAGAGAAATAAAGCAGATATAAGCTATGTGACCAGTGCATCCAGGTCCAGGCGGTAGTTGAGGTCTCCACACCAAAAGAGATGATTAAAGCGAAGGCTAATGTCAAAAGTGCCGAGCTGCTTTTCTCCAAGAGACAAGAGTCTGAGGATGTCTTGGAAGTTGTGGTTCCTCCTAAGACAAGAAGGAGGAACAATGCAAATCAGACACTCACACATACACAACCACTGTAAAGTTTGGGGTGTATAAGATGTTTTTGAAATCTGCAATTATTTTCTCATAAATACAGCAAAAACAGTAATTGTTTTTCTATTTTAATATATTTTAAAATGTAATTTATTCTTATGATGGCAAAGCTGAATTTTCAGCAGCCATTATTCAAGTCTTCAGTGTCACATGATCCTTCAGAAATCATTCTAATATGCTGATTTGATCGTCAAGAAAACATTCCTTATTATTATCATTGCTGAAAACAATTGTGCTGCTTAATTTTTTTGTGAAAACATGATTCAGGACTCTATTATGAATTGAAAATTCAAAAGAACAGCGTTTATTTGAAATAGAAATCTTTTATATCAGTGCAAGACTGTCACTTTTGATCAATTTAATGTGTATTTGCTGAATAAAATTATCCAGAAAAATAAACTGACCCCAAACTTTTGAACAATTGTGTACAACACATAGTTACACAATGTCATCTAGATGTTTCACATTAAATATTACATATAATTTGATAGTGAAACATAGATTAGTATGTTTCTTTTGTACATCATTTGCAACTGCTTTATCATTTAATTAGAAGCACCATAATTACTAAGGTGTGTCATCTGTTATAGAGGTTACTGAACAGACATTTAGAAGTTTATTTTTAAATGCAAAGTATTGAAAATCAAAATAAAGCAAACACTTGCATTTTAAAAACACTACAAGTGTGTCCATCGGGTAATGGAAAATTGTACATGCACTTGTCTTCACGCCCACTTTAACACTTGGGCCAAATACAGGAAATACGTCATGCAAGTAGTAGTCAAGTGGTCAAGTGCAAAGACCAGAAGTATGTGTATTTGGGCAAGCTCTTCCTGTGTTAATTTGACATCATTTCCAATGAAATTTCGGGCCAGAGCTGTTGAGCTCGGTAAAGCCGCATTTGACAGCTTATGGCAGCCACAGTCTAATAGATTACCCCTTTAGATTTGACAGGAAACTGTTACTAAAGTAAAACAGTAGTGATCATAATCATGCTGAGTATATGTAGTATGAAAATATATTGGTGAATGGCACCGGTGTTATCTCTTCTACTCGTCAGTGCTGTTTCTAATCCCGAGTTTGTCAAACAGTTTCTCCTCCTAACCTCATCCATTATCACTATAAAATATAGCAATCTGTGCACAATTCAAACAGTTCCGGTACGTTTTGTGTTCTCCGCCGATTTGTGCATATGATGTATAGACATATCCATGCTATCGTGTCTCTGGAGCACACTGCTGCAGCGGTTTCCGTGACACAACACGAAACCAGACTTAATTTGCCCAAATGGAAAGCACATTCACACTGTCTGAATCGTGCACTATGTGCCACTGACCATATAGAAAATACTAACTCTGTGAACAAGTGAGCGATTTCAGCCACAGATTTCAGCGTCTATTTATTGTGTACGGGGCGGGAAGCTTCAGATTCTAGGGAGCATTTGATTGGCCAGAAAATCTGATGAGAAGCTGAAGTGCAGGGTGATTTCATCAAAATCGTTGATTCATATTGGCAGAAGTGAGAGACTATGTTTTGAATGCTTATATCTTCTAAATGTGAAGTTTGTCAATGTTTTGGAGCACTAGCTTATAGATATAATTCATACTAAAAGCCAAAAACTTTTCATGGGGACTTTAAGCAGGGTAACAAATGCTGTGGTTCTCAAACTGTGGTCTGCGAGTTATTAGCCGTTTAAAAAACCAGACCTAAATAAATAATTCATAGACATTGAAATAATCAACTGATTCATCAACTCATAGCAATGAATTAACTGATTGTGTTAACATTAATTTGTGATAATTTTATGTTTTCATATTTTGTCATGTGTTGGTTAGCCACTTATGTTTCAGTTGTATGATGACCAGTTTTTCTCTGTAACCATTTAAAAAGTATGGTGCTTTAAAATCTGTTTAGATTGTAAAAGTTGTGTAATTTATTTCAGCCTTAAGGATAAATTGTGCCCGACTTCTTCTTTGTAGAGTATATTTAGGTTGATATGTGGTATGCAGTGGCCTGTCACCACTGCTCTATTTTAAAGATATGTGTGAATACCTGAGTACTTTATCACTACCAGAAGTCAGATGACAGTTCACAAAGCCCATTGAGGTGCCATTAAAGAGAAGAGAAACTCCTACTGCTCCCTTATTTCCTGTAACCACCAAGAAAAAACAAATGAATTTAACATGAAAAAATATCAATATGATTCATTTATCACTTGAGTTGTTTTGCTTGGCTAAAAGACAAGGATATAAAGGATGTGAGAAAACATCAGAAAAGGAGAGTTAGTGAGTGTGTTTGTTTGTTTGAGCAAGATAAATTTGTACCGAGTGTGTTCCCCAGGCCAGTTTTTACACTAGCTGTGTTTACTTGACTGATGCGTCCTTCATGCTCTGGTTTCACAAACACAGCCAGTCTGATATTCCAAAGGGACTGTACTGCCACCTACAGGAGAAACACAAAAACACTCAATCTATTCTTACCAGTTTAACACACTTTAAAGGGATAGTTCACCCAAAAATGAAAATTCTGTCATTAATTACTCACGCTCATGTCGTTCCTATAAACCTGTAAGACCTTTGTTCATCTTCGGAACACAAATTAAGATATTTCTGATGCATTCCGAGAGCTCTCTGACCCTCCCATAGACAGCAAGGATCCTTAGAAGATCAAAGCTCAGAAACGTAGCAAGGAGATCGTTAAAATAATCCATGTGACATCAGTGGTTCAACTGTAATTTTACGAAGCTACGAGAATACTTTTTTGTGCGCAAATAAAAAAAAAAGAACGACTTTATTCAACAATGTCTCCTCTGCGTCACCATAGCGCCATTTTGGAGAGTATCACATACGTAAACACCGTACGTACGCGGATACATTGTTTACGTTCAGATCAAAGCATAAACAGCGTATCCGTGTACGGTGATGCTGACAAAGAACAGCATACGTTGTTTACGTATGTGATACTCTCCCAAATGGCGCTATAGGGTGATGCGGAGGAGACGAATTGTTGAATAAAGTCGTTCTTTTTGTTTTCTTTGCGCATAAAAAGTATTCTCGTAGCTTCGTAAAATTACGGTTGAACCACTGATGTCACATGTTTTAACGATCTCCTCCTTGCTACGTTTCTGAGCTTTGATCGTCTAAGGATCCTTGCTGTCTATGGGAGGGTCAGAGAGCTCTCGGAATGCATCAAAAATATCTTAACTTGTGTTCCGAAGATGAACGGAGGTCTTAAAGGTTTGGGAAGACATGAGGGTGAGTAATTAATGACAGAATTTTCTTTTTTGGGTGAACTATCCCTTTAATGCAATACAATCAAATGATTCATATAGATATGTGATCACATACGAAGAAGAAACATGGAGTGTTCTGGACTATGATGATTTTGATTTCATGAAGTCAGACCTGTTTGAAGTCAATGTTGGTTGCACTCCGAAGCGTGGCTCTGATGTGTTCAGCCCATTCTCTCTCGCCCTGCGGGTTGTCCTGAGTGCCCACTGCATAGATATCATGAGGCAAGGTCGCGATGGACTCGTCTGGGGTGAGACCCAGACCACAGCAAGTAACCCAGGACTGAAGTGAACCGGGTGGTGGAGTGCCCCCTGCAGGCAATATACAGAAACAACAATGAAATATTTTGCTGCAACTGTTGAGGCCATAATATTTTTTATTTTTAATGATACACTGTATATCCATACCCATGTTCCATGTGCCCACAAACACAGAGATGACATCCAGCTCAGACTGCTGGCAGTGAGCAGTCTTCATAAGCTGCAGCAGCCGACAGAAAGCTTCTCGTTTCTGTGGGAGACGCATCAGTACTGTATATCAGATTTAGACCATTTAAGGTAAGCCAATTCAAGTCTTTCTCCTCACCTTCATGCTTTCAAACACAAGTTCTCTCGGCGGATTGTGATGACGGTCTCTCTCTCGCCCTGCGGGTTGTCCTGAGTGCCCACTGCATAGATATCATGAGGCAAGGTCGCGATGGACTCGTCTGGGGTGAGACCCAGACCACAGCAAGTAACCCAGGACTGAAGTGAACCGGGTGGTGGAGTGCCCCCTGCAGGCAATATACAGAAACAACAATGAAATATTTTGCTGCAACTGTTGAGGCCATAATATTTTTTATTTTTAATGATACACTGTATATCCATACCCATGTTCCATGTGCCCACAAACACAGAGATGACATCCAGCTCAGACTGCTGGCAGTGAGCAGTCTTCATAAGCTGCAGCAGCCGACAGAAAGCTTCTCGTTTCTGTGGGAGACGCATCAGTACTGTATATCAGATTTAGACCATTTAAGGTAAGCCAATTCAAGTCTTTCTCCTCACCTTCATGCTTTCAAACACAAGTTCTCTCGGCGGATTGTGATGACGGTCTATGACCATTTTCAGCTTGGCAGGGCCTCTCTGAATCTTCACCAACTGCACGACTAAAACATAAAAGCAATAGATTCCATTTACTAACCTTGTATGATAATGATGGAGACTGAAGTATCTCAGGTTTTAAGGCAAGATAAACTCACTTCTGTCGTGTGTGACAGTCTCCACACCAAATGAGCCAGTCTTCTTGTCAAACAGCAGCACTCCTGCATCTATGTCTACCGACACTGTTTGCCTGCCGTACCTGACCACCTTGATCTTTACATGCAAACACATGCACATAAATAAATGCAAACACTTGCATATTACCAGTGAGTAAAGAAACAGACACTAATGTGCTACCTGAAAGCTGTGGACAGTATTAGGTCTGGCCTGTTTTTTGGGGGCTGTGACAGACTCAGGAGGAGTGGATGTTTGCAAAGATAAGTTGTGATTGGTTACAGCTTCTTGTAAAGCTTTAAGAACCTGAAAAAGACATAATATTGTTATCATCATCATTTTTATAAAGACAGCAATGCAAAAGGATGACGTGTATGTGGTTTGTGCGTGTTTGCATGCTGTTTCTGTCATATGTGTCTCTACCCTTTTCTCCAGAGATGACAACAGGTTACAGAGGGTAGTGAGCTTGTGAAGTAGATTATCCATGTTTTCTTCAGGGCTCTTCCCTGTATTCTAACAAAAAGAGAGTTTATGAGACAAATGGAATATATGAGGTGAATGAGAAGAAGCAGAGCATTAATGCCACAAAACTTGCTTCTACAGGTCGTTGTTGTCTTTGCACTGCATGCAGAAGTCTAGGGTCATGCATGGTGCTGCTATGCTGCTGCTAAGACAATCTGGGGTGTTGCAAAGGTATTCTGGGTGGTTGCTTGCTATGTGATTGTTTCCTGGCACAAGTTAAAAGAGTTATGATATTCTGGTCCCTAATTATGGGGTCTCAGGCATGGCAACTTCCAAGGGCGCCCGCAGGATGACATAATTAGTTTTTTAACTTATATATTATTGTAATAATAATAGTAATAATACAATTAATATTAACATTGTATTCAAATACTAAAAAACATACAATCAAGATGTACAGTAAACTATTTTTCCTCAAAACACAAAATTAATTGTGGTTAATTATTATATAAACACTACAGGTTTCTGTTAATAAAAGAAGCTGGAAAACAAGCAGATTTGTCATATTTACAGCAGAAATACCAGAGGAATTAACTTGCCTTATATTGTGGGGCCTTTGAATATTGAATATCTAAATGGTTGAGAACCACTGGTCTAAGGGATTTTTTTCTACCCATTTAATCATCAGCGAAAATAAGTCAGTCAGATCACTTAGAAAAGCAACAGTAAACCTTTTCCCAATGATGCTTTGAGCTATTATACACAAATTATACACTAATAAACTTAAGGTTTAGGCTTGGGGCTTTGTTCAAATTCCTAATAAGAAGTATGAGCAATAGTAATAGTGATGCTTGCCTGTGCAAAGACCAATAAAGATCCCATTCCTGTTTGAACATGTAATAAATCTTTGAATCTGTGGTTCCCTATATCAGCCACACAGAGTGCAATGCTTCATAATTCAGGCAAACGTTGCATGCAAAGCCAATTTATTAAACTATATTAAAATTTACTAAAGAAAAATATGACTGATTGATAATAGCAGCCTGTATTAGCCTTACGTATGTGTAAAAATAACATTTAGGGGGGTTGTACCTGCATTGTGGAGATGGTGAGGTGGCCACTAGGATGACCAAACACTTTCGCTAAGGTTTCCAAACTGGACAGTGTCTGGTCAATCTCACTATTGTAAACAAATCATGAATAACTTTTTTCTTGCCAATGTAACAGTCCTTATTCAGATATTCCTATTTCAAATGATTGCAACAATGTGTGAAGGGACATGTGGTGTCTGAGAAACAGCACCTGTGGAGACTGTCGCATGCACGGCTGAGGATGCACTGAAAGTGTTGCAGTCCTGATGCGCCTCCTTTCACATTCTCCAGGTCCTTACACACATTACCATGCAGATACTCATCCAGTAACAGGATGATCTCACAGCCTGCACTGCAGAGGTAAAAATCAGTACATTAACATTTTTATATACAGGCACAGACTTGTGATCCAAAAGTTTGATATTGATCCATAGGTCATGTGTGAATGAATGTACTTATTTGGGCTGAGCTCCTGAAGCCTCTGCAGCAGTAAATGAAGGGCTCCTGAACTGGAGGGTGGAGGATGGCCTGTAGGGGACATTGCACGTGGTGGAGGGCTGGCAAATGTTGAACCTGGCTTCTCATCGTCACCATCTGCACCAAGAAGACACCTGCATTTGAGCTTAAACATTTGAATGTTGTGCCTGTGGGATGAAGTGTGTCTTGGCAGCCTCACACAGAATATAGGCTAATAACGTGTGCTCCATCCAGGTCGCGATTAAAACAGTCGCAAACAAAATAAAAATGAGCGACAATAAGTTTAAATCTGTTTGGGAAAACTTTGTGTCCGTCCATATGCGGTTTCGTCAGATATCATCCGCGCGCCACAACGTTTTCAGTCACAAATACAGGTGCATCTCAATAAATTAGAATGTCGTGGAAAAGTTCATTTATTTCAGTAATTCAACTCAAATTGTGAAACTCGTGTATTAAATAAATTCAATGCACACAGACTGAAGTAGTTTAAGTCTTTGGTTCTTTTAATTGTGATGATTTTGGCTCACATCAATTAAAAGAACCAAAGACTTAAACTACTTCAGTCTGTGTGCATTGAATTTATTTAATACATGAGTTTCACAATTTGAGTTGAATTACTGAAATAAATGAACTTTTCTACGACATTCTAATTTATTGAGATGCACCTGTACAGTGGCATGTATGACAAATACAATCCATGATGCCCGATTCACAAACAAATGATTCGTTTGAACTGGTTCTTTTTAAAGAGTCAGTCAAAACGATTCATTAATCGGAGTTAGCGGTTTGAATCAGACTCACTCAGTCAGTGAATCGTTCGGAGATGTTTTCGTTCGGAGATGTTTTCACAATTGACTCCTTCACTCAAATATTGTTAGGTTTGAAATACATCGGTATGTTTAATGTCTGTTATATGTATAATAAAGATAAATATTCATAGCATATTTTTATTATTGTTGTAATAAAATTTTTTTTTTTTTTTTTTTCAGTTTTCTGAAACCATTAAAATAGCGATATTGCACAAATACAACCAGGATCACACAATTTGTAATAAATGTATACTAAAGCAACCAAAACACTATAGTTTTGTATAAACTACGTTGAATCATTGTAATCTATATAGGGTGAATTCGGGTCATCTGGAACCAGTGAGTTTATTTCCTGTTCTAACAAAATGTAGTCAACAGGACTTTTACTATCATTTTAGCAAAACTTACATGGCTTCAGTCTTTTATTAGAAATGAGCATTCATACTGGTTTGCAATTCCATCCAGTTTGTTTAAAAAATTTGGAGGTATAAAGTTTTTTTTACAATGTGACTTTGAGATATCTAAAATTCCACTGAAACTGTCGGATTTTCATAAACAAGTCCTCTTGTATTGGAAACTGCTGTTTAAACATAACTTCAATCGTCATACTGTTTCCTTATGGAATAATCGTTGTATTTTATTTCAAAGAAAATCTTTATTTTTGGAGGACTGGTGGCAAAGAGGTATTTGGTCAGTGCTGCACATGATGGATAAGAATGGCTGTTTTTTTAATTATAATGATTTTTGCTCTAAATTTAATTTTAAGTGTGAGGAAAAAGTTTATTTGAAAGTTACTAAAAGTATTCCTTTACCATTCCTTAATCTGGGATTTGCATGACAAGGTCAGTGACATAGGATTCTGACTAGATTCATTCAAGGACATAAATCTGTCATAAATAAGACAATGTTCCTAATTGTTGTCAAATTATGTTAGTGATCTATTCAAGCAACAAAATATGTATTAAAGTGTTGAAAATGTGTTTGTTTGTTTTTTCTTTCAAACATTTTTTTTGTTGTCCCACATTATCAAATATGATTGAGAATGTGGGACAGCATGCTTTGGGTAATCTGGGACAGTCTTCAAATGGGGGAAATATGCATTTAGGGACTTTATAAGTCTAATGACAAGGGCTAATATATGCCATAATGAGAAATGGGTGTTAATGTGGACTACTAGAGGTTATAACATTAGCATAAGTTCACAATAGCTAGCAGCTAGCTAAACCAGCTAGGTAGAGAAAGATGCTACAGAGATGGAATCTGGGAAACGTATTCCAATAGCAAGCAAAGGTATCAGGATGAAGTAAACCGTTAATTTCATTTCCCAAATTCCCAGTTAGTTTAGTATATACAACGATTCAACCCACTGAGCAGGAGGGGGATCTGCGCCCAGGCCAGTTGAGGCCAGTGTTCTGCACACAAACACACACACACACATATCACGAAACATGTGCAGAAGATAATGACATGATAGATGATGATGGGTCTCTCACCTGCAAGGAGTGTTTGTTCCCCGAGTAGCCCCAATTTTAATCGAATGGAGAACTTTAATAACCGAATGAATAATCCGTTAATCAAATTATTGCTTGCTGTTGCTTAAATTTTTGTAGATTTTTTAAAAAAATGTTAAAGGAACACTCCACTATTTTTGAAAATAGGTTCATTTTACAACTCCCCTAGAGTTAAACAGTTGAGTTTTACCGTTTTCGAATCCATTCAGCCGATCTCCGGGTCTGGCGGTAGCACTTTTAGCTGTAGCTTAGCATAGATCGAAGGAAAATGAAAAATTGCGATTTTCTAGGCCGATATGGCTAGGAACTATACTCTCATGATACAATATCAACATGATATTACCCAGCGACTGAAAATAGTCCCCAGCTAGGTAACTTCCAATAAGCCTATTTTCAGGCGCTGCGTAATATCATTGCGCCTGCTGCA